TACGGCGCTTTTTGTTACGGGGTTTGTATGGGGTTTCATGGACTTCATGGGCTCGGTGTGGGGTATTATTGGCATATACAGCTCCTGCTCCGCATAGATTGCTTTGGCACAAGTGACCCAGAAGACATTGTTCATCTCGATGAGTCCTGCATGTGCATGAATCAAGTGTTTTGCTGCATGGGGATCTTTCGGTATCTAAATGTATAATGTGGACGAGAAGAAACCATGCATGGAGAGCTGCCAAACCATGCTCACCCAGATGGTTTAACTTGTTTTGCAGCATATACGGATACAGCTGGCATTTCGAAAGGGGCAGGCTCCGAAAACCGAAGCCCTCAAATGCCCTCAAGCTCAACCCGTCAAAGCCACAAACTGAAATCTAAGTTGGCTATAAGGGGATCCTCGATCGGGCAACCATACACCCCATCAAAATCATGAAGCTATCCTTCTTCGTGGCAGAGCTGTAGGCTCTGCGGTGAGCACTGAGCCAAGCAAGCAACCATGGCCATCGACATCGCACAGCACCCTAGCTAGAAAACCCCGTGGTACGTGGTGCTATCAAAGGCTGCACAGGATCCATCAAGTCAGCGTGCAGTCCCGGCCACACAACACACAGCATATGGCACAGCATGCAGAGGTGGGGGCAGGAGGGTGCACCTCCTCAGGCGTCCATGGCAACAGTTCAACCCTAAATTTTGAAGTATCCTGCTGAACTCATATATACGTATATCGATCGATCAATGATTTGCCACAAGTTGGCCTGCAATGCCTGCATAGATCGAGGCTCTGCAGGGGAAGTACTTGCATGGATCTCTGAAGTGTCTGATCGAAGTGAACCGAGTGCGTTGCTGCATGCATGTTTCGAGCCACGGCTCTCCAAAAGCTGCGCGGCACGAGCGCCCGTTCGTACTCACCGATCGAGTTCATCCACCTGCGAGCATATATTGTCTTTGATCGGGTGGTGTCGGTGGAGAAAAAACGCTCGCAAACGGATGCGAGCCAGAAACAAAAACGCTCGCAACAATTATCCTCGGGTAGGGTCGGTTCAGCCAAAAAACGCTCGCAAAGGGACGGGGGTTCGAGCGCAAATTTGCTCGCACAGATGTCCCCCCAAACTCCTCATTCCGGCAAGTTCCGCTCGAACTTTGTAGAAAAGGCTTTTTATATCAAAACACTCTTTTTCTGAACTGCCCTATTTTTATGCAGCATAAGGTTCCCCAGGTACCACTACGAGTGCAACTACCACTACCGCTACCCCGCTACCACTACCACTACGAGTGCAACTACCACTACCTCACTTCCACTACCACTACACACTACCCACCGCCTACTACCTACTACCCGCTGTCCTAGTACTTCCTACTACCACTACTGCTGCTGCTCCTGCTGCTGCTGCTGCTCCTGCTACTGCTACTGCTACTGCTACTGCTACTGCTACTGCTACTACTACTGCTACTGCTACTGCTACTGCTACTGCTACTGCAGCTGCTGCTACTACGACGACGAAGCCGAGTACCGTGACCACTGTTCTACAACTACATATGCGACGGGTCAAGTTTCAATGTCCAGTTCGTGACGTGGAGCCTGACTATAGGCATTTGATTGCTATGGCGTTCTGCTGGGCAGCTGTGTGCCGAAATGAGATCCGGACAAAAGTCGTATACAGAATGCAATCAACAGCGGAGTTTTTTCTTCTCTGCGACCTGTACGTCTATGACTTGGCATGTTTCGGCCAGCAGCGAACAGTAGTACAGAGCTTCAGAACCCGTGCAGAGCGCAGAGCTTGTGATAGGGAGTTCCGACATGCAGGAGGCTTGGACTGCGCGTGTGACGTGACTGCGCGGCACGCCTGCAATCGAAGCCGTGCTCTGCTCCAGTTGCGGGAGATCTCTAGGGTTTGGGTGTAAACGTTGATTCAGTCAGTGAACGACATACAGACAGCTTATAACCCAAAAAAAACTAGATATGCAACAGTGCGATCATTCAAACCGGAAGCAAACGGTACGCGTAGTGAACTGCGAAACACGAATGCAAGGATGATGTAACATCCAGTTTTTCTCAGAGTGGAGATATCACACTGATTGCTCGGAGAGCCTGATGAAGTAGCCCATTCCTTAGGCTTCCCAATTATGTGCACATGGTCCTCTCTAATTCATGGTGTTCGTACTTCCCGAGGCTCCGACTTTTCCGAGAAGTTTCTGGACAGGTCCTTGTGAAGGACCGCACTGGCTTTCTCGAAGAAGGGGGCAGGAGATAGAGCGTTTCCTGGGTAAGATCAAGTTTTCTGCTTTGGAGTTTGCCCACACGGTTCGCGGCGAATGATCCCCTGCTCACGGAAAAACCGAAGATGCATGAATCATGGGCGCATCCGATCAAGAGCAATGTAATCAATTGCCGCTTTGCACCAAGGACCGCAAAACCTGTGAAACCAGCCGAAACCAAGGGTTGCTCTCATCAGCTTCGGTCGCATGAGCTGGTACCCATGCTCAAAGGACTTCACACTTACCTACTCAGGGCCAGGCATTCAGATTACCCAAACACTTTACACTCCCTAACGCCAATCCCTGAACCTCAAAGCCCTGAACGCCCAAACCCTTGACAGAATCCTCATAGTTTCCCTTGCATATAGCAGCCTTTCAGTTACCCTGGTTTTAATAACATAGGGGCCTAAATGATTACCAATACTATTGTGCGGGTTCCTTGGAGTAGTATACCCCCCAAACCCAAGTCTAAGTACTAAGGCTCCTAGAATAACTTCCAAGTTCCAAGTCAGGATTTTCGAAAATAGGGGAGCTACTACAATACCCTAAATAGGAGGATCCTTGTTTTTAAGGACCTCAAAATAAGGATCCCCCTTTTTTTCGGGAAGATCCCAAGTCAGGATTTCCAGACATGCTTGCTCGCCTCAGCCCGGGCTCTCCTGCCCGATGGCTGGGACTCCAAGCACGAGAGCGCTTGGCTTCTTGGTTAGTTAGTACCCTTTAAAGGAACCCTTATTGTAGTACCCTTGTAGAACCCTTTAAAGGAACCCGTATTGTAGTACCCTTATAGAACCCTTTAAAGGAACCCTTATTATAGTACCCGTATAGAAGGTTAGTACCCTTACCCAGATCCCCTCGGGAGGATCTAGAAAATAGATCCCCTAGTTTGGGGCCCTATACTACTGAGGGTACTTTATGGGAACCCCCATTAAGGGATCTACTTTCTGGATCCTCCCGGGGGTCTGGGTATAGAACCCTTTAAAGGAACCCTTATGGAACCGTAATGAAGGCCCAAGGCTGGATGGACGTGGTTTTGCGGTGGGGTCTTAGGGTGATGGGCTTGTAGGCAATTTGTAGGTGTATGGGGGTTCGGTATGTGTTTGTGCGCTTCTTCGTAATTTCGAGGTTCCGGTTACGACGGGTACTCGTATCTGACGTAACTACACAGCGACTGACCCGATGGTGGTCTGCGGGCGTCCCAAGACTCGCGTGTGTGTTCATTTTTTGTCAGCCTATGTTGGTATCTATGAACATGAAGCTTTGCCCATTGTGGTAAGTTGGCGTGAAGATTACAGTCAAACAGCAGCGACAAAGGCAGATAAGGAGGACCCGGTAAGAGCAGCATCAAGGGGAGAGGACAGAAATATCAGAGAACCCTGCGATAACCGTAGTTGTGAGCAGAGTAGTGATCACAAACATAATAAGATAACGATCACGATGGTCGCGATCATGACCTGCATGAACGTAATTGAACAGGGTCATGGGCATGATGATGGCCACCATTGCATGATGAATTACGCAGATTGTGTTGTCGATGCTGAGTGTATCGTCAGAACGACTACCATGAAAGACCAAGCAGGGTAGATTGTACTTCGACGAGGAACGCAGGTCAAAGGTGTAATCAGTGTAATCGGTTCAAAACCCTTATCGGTGGCGGTCTGTGGCAAGAGTGCTGTTTGCCATCCGGTAGCAGCAAACCCAGCTCAGGATAGCTGTCTGGACGTGCATCGCTGATCGCCTTGAGCAATCCCTTCCACTGCCATCGAAGTATCAGAAGCCAGTTCAGAACTTTGTTGCAGGCCTGGGGGGCACGAACAATTTCGAGTTTCAGGGGCGGAGTTGCACCGCTGGTGCATCAAGGGAATGTTTATGCCTCGGCTTCACAGAGCAGAAACGAATCCATCTAAAACACGGTCGTGCAAGAAAGCACCTGCAGCCAACGTTATGCGACCTGACTTCATGCACTTAGGTTGTAAAATTAGCCTGGATTTCCTCCACTCGGAATCTCCCTTCCCTTGAGGGCTGAGCACGGATCAACGGCAGAAGCTGGGAAAGCGGAGCTTTGAGCGGCTTTTCCGAGAGCACGAGCAGGCGACCCCGACGTCGGAGCCAGGGCTTGTAGGGTTTAGGGCAGTTTAGGGGTTTATGGCTTGATGAGGGATTTGGGGTTTAGGAGTTTAGTAGGTAGGGTCACGGGTTGAATGTTGCCGGCCTGAATGCTTAGTCGCAATTGCAATGATATCAAGCAACGGAACAGGAAGAACGGAACTGCAGATTCGCTACCACCATGGACAGTGTGAAGTAACTACAAATAGCTACGCAGCGAGATTGTGACAAGAAGATAGCGAGTCATTGGATCTGTGTAAGAGTGAGTCATAGCAACCGCAGACGAATGAACAAGTACACGGCTGTCAGTACGCTGGTTATGGATGCATGAAGAATCCAGAAAATCACTGGCATTCGCAGTCAAGATGATCGCCCAGGCCATGCTCGCTATAAGAAGCTAGTGATCACCATCACAGGCATCGTCATCTTCTTCATCATCATCCGCATCACCATCATGATAATAATCATCATCATGTTCGTCGCGCTTGTGTTCATCAGCATCACTGTGAAAAAAAGCAAAGAGGTGTCTTTCAACGCTGACAAGTCGCACTGCATGTGGGCGTTGTTAATTCCGGGGGTCGCGACGGCTTGGATCATGACGCGAGCATGCATATCCATGGGCCGTCTTGGACTATGTACACGTTTTTCGGCATGATCGTGGTCCGAAGGTCTCCAACCACTTCAACCAATCCTGGATGAGATTGGCTTTCATCATCAGCAAGACGCTCGATGCTCGCCCGAGAAGTTTTGCACAAGGGCATGTCAGAGCTCAAGAGCTGCTGCATTTCCTGAGCTGTGCTCATGACCATGATAGCTGTTCACATGGCTGTAGTTGTACAATCAGCCCAACATTACAATAGCTGCTGTTTGTAGTATCATAGCTTCCACCGACAATTCTGCTATGACTATGACGATGCCGACGAAGACAATGGCGATATCGACGATGGCTACGTCTGCCACAGTCAACCATGCTGTGGGACGGTTGCTACTCCTGCTGCCACTACTTCAGAATCGAAACTGCTGCTACTAGTTTTTTTTGAGTAGTAGAAATAACAACAGTAGTTAGTAGCATAAGTAATAATGGTAGTAATAGTTTACTCCTCCCCCTACCATTACTGCTACTACCACTACTGCTTCTACTCCTACACTAACTACATCCGCATGGGCTTTGCTGCTACTACTGTTGCCGCGAAGACTGCTTGGGCACTTGCCCTGCCTTGCCTGCAACGACGGCTATTCAGGCTATTCCTTGGTTCGAGTACTGCTTTGCCTGCTCAACCTGTTGATTTTCTTTTTGCTGCCCCCGAAATTGTTTGCTTTCCTGTTATGAACATTCTGGCTATCACTCTTGTGTTCAGCTACTGATACTATTGTGACTCAGATGGCGTCGACATATCCCATATCCCATTGCAGCGTTCGCGTCTTGTGTTCAGGACATGGCAGTGCGGCTTTTCCACGAGCCGGCACAAATGTTCGATGAGCTGACACAGTTGGGGCTGAAGCACATCATGTTTCAGGCGAGTTTTGTTGAGACCTCGCTACAAAGAGCATTGAAGAACATAGTTGAGACCAGCAATACTGTATATCCTTGCAGTCCTTAGGCAAGTAGCATAATGTGCCCCACAAGCCTATGACATCCTCAATTATCCTCTTAGGATTACTAGCTTCTGGAGGCTGACTCTCAGTTCTTCCAGCCGTGGGTCGCGGCACTGGTGGCGGAAATCCAGCTGATCTGCCAGGATGAGAAAGTGGCTTTGCTTGGGATACCATGCTGGGTATGTTCCCGGCCCGTGATTTTCTTGCTCCTTAGTAATTGAGGCACCGTTAACTGACAGAAATTCCTTCTTGATCTGGAAGAGTGTTTAAGAACAGGGTCATTTGTATTTTGTTGGAGACGTGACGTTTCCAGCTCGCACGGTCAGAGGCGCTCAAGGAGTGGCGCAAGAGTTTGGACCTAGGGCTGAATCGGCGTGTAATGCCGATTGGTGCGAACCTCCTGTGCGCAGTCTTGGCAACATGCAGTTCGGGGCATCGTGGCGAGCAGCTTCACAAACCCCTTGTAGCGACCCGAAACCTCCGGAAAGCAAGGGTAATATAGGGGCCTAAACGGGGTTCCTTCTCTAAGTCTAGTGTACAAAACCCTATTCTAATTATGAAGGCCCCTGTAGTACAGTAACCAGACCTCCAAAAAAAAACAAATCCCCATATTTCCTTCGGCTTCCGCAAGGTGGTTGATGCGATGAACTTTGCGCTTTGCGTGATTCTAGGTGGCAGTTTGCGAAAACTTGAATTTTCCTTTATGGTTCCTATAGAGGTACCTATTCATAATTACTGTTTTAATTAAGGGCCCCAAAACTACCACCCAGGATTGGTAGCATCATCGGACAAGCACTGGAAGCTGGCGCCACGCCCATCCTGAAGGCCAGCTCTGCCAGTTTCCAGCTTTCAGAATCAGGCGATGCTCAGTTTGAATATAGTGCTTGCCAGTACTATATCGCCGACAGTCATGATGACCGGAACTCCTTCTGCTGTAGCACTGTAAGCATGCCGTGTTTAGTGACGGTGTTGAACGAACACCAGACTTTGTTGCATATTTGCCGACATGGTGCATTAGGTAGGACTTTTGCCGCCGCCGGCCAAGAACCGCTGAGTCGTGAGCATGACAAGAAGAGGTACAGCGCCAAGGGTCAGAAACTACATGAGCAAGAGTTCCAGTCAAAGGTCACCACCTGCGTCAAACCTAAACCCAAACCCAGATTACATCACTCCCTGGCCCAACCCTGTTTGATACTGGGTCGGGCACATCGGAAGTTGGCTTAGTCAGGGGTCGTTGCAGAGGAGCCCTGAGCGAAGGACACGAACACAGCTGACACCATCTCAATTAGCCCAAGCCCGATCCCGAAACCCTATTAAGATGACTTTCAATAACGGTTTAAGGGTTTAGGGTTTAGGCCCTAAAATCTAAACCCTAAACCCCTAAATTTAAATGACCTGACGCCGTGCCTTCTTTGAAGGCCATTGTCACGGACGATGTCAAGGCCAGGCGATGGCATGGTAGTGGGTATACGAGGATCTTCGTCATTGCGTTTCATTGCGGAACTACAGTGAAATCTATCCCCTGGCCGTTTAATGTGGGGGCCTTAATACATTTTGGTTTTCCTTATTCTATTTACAGTATCATGTACCGCAAGGCCCTATTCTATTTATCAAGGCCCCTAATATAGAACCCTACTATAGATCTCTTATAGACCTTTAAAGGGAACCCGATTCTAATTATTAAGGCCCATACATTATTTCAGCCGGCGAGGCCTTGAAGAAGGCATTGGCTGCGACACCCAGGGGCCAGCGGGCAGAAGCCATCCTGGGTCGTGGCTACCCTTAGGCTCGGCCGAGGTTTGTGCTGGGGCCACAACAACTAATAGAGGCGTAGAGGCCTTAATAATTACCTATACTATTTTGGGGGTTCCTCATTATGGTTATAGCATATTGGGCCCCAAAACCCTATATTCTAATTATTAGGGCCTTTATATTACGATGACAAGATCTAGCGTACGGCTGGGTTATCATACAGCATACAAGGACATGCAATTAAATGTACGAAGGTTAACTAGCGACTTACACGAGACCAGACCATGTCTTGGGGATTGTACCTTTGTGTCGGTGTGTCCGGTGGTCGGACTGTTTCGGCATTGGCTTTGGAGGGCGTGAGCAAGTCCTCAGTTGCAAGGTCGAACATCCGAACGAAGGCTTGTGTCTTGCTCCTGCAGCCTTACACAGGCCCCGAGACTACTAGAAGATGCCATGAAACCATATTAAGAAATCCGTCAAACATGGGGAGCCTGCAGCTCAGAGTCCCCTCGCCCTTGACCTGGAGGCTGCGGGCTCTTCTCTGCAACGAGAGACGGTGGTGTTTGACACCGTACGAGATGAGATTTTCAGCCTAGCCATCAGTCTCCCTTTTAAGTTACTATAGGGGCCAAAATTTTTACCAATACAACTTTGGATCCTTAATACATCTAGAATCTATAGTATAATGTTTTTTTCTACAAAAACCCTCTATGAAGGTCCCTATATTATGTGATGGTATGGGCTCCGAAGCTGAGGTTTGTCGCCTCGTTAGACCGGGCACCCGAGAGGATTTCTGTCGACTTTTACCGGGCTGCGCATGCTGCGTGCTGTCGTATGCTCGAGGTGCCAAAGGCACTCATCAGACGCAGGTTACAGCTGCTCTGTCGTGTTGCCATGCCAGTCCTAACAGTGGTAACCTGTGCTTTCCAACTTTCCATTTGCTCGGCGCAAGCGTCGTGCTGCCAGACCTGATGGCCATGTCGGCCCTCGCAGTGTCAGGTCTGGCCATGTGCAAAGACAAAGGTTGGGGAGAGGGATAGATACCGGGTAGGTGAGTTTGTTTGCAGCTCGTGATGCTAGTAGAACCGTCTGCATGTGATTGAGTATTCCTACACCTCAACAATCCGAGTCGCTGTTGCAGCCTTCATGATCCCACTGTAAAGCTCCCTGTCAACCTTCATTTTTGTTGCCAGAGACGTCTTGTGGGCAGTGGACCTGCCTTGAGATCCAGATGCGGTTGTCATTCGTTGCAATCGCTGCTAGGGTTGTTTTTTCTGGTTACGAACCTTGAGTTGCACACGTTTTGTGTGTTGTGGCTATTGTCGTTATGTTTGCTAATCAGTCTTGTTCATAATCTGTGCTTACATCATTCAAAACGTGTTGGTCTGGTCATGCCTGGGCCCTAAAACCCCGGAACCTGAGACCCTAAAAACTCTGACCCATTTGCTGAATTGTTCTTGCAATAAGTTTACCCACGTCCACAGGATATGCTGCACTGGATGTACAGCTCCAAAGATCCGGTGGTGGTATGCGATTCAGGCATCATCTGCTCCTGTGATGGCAGAGTGATCAGAAAGAACGCAAGGCCATGGTGATACCGCTCGCATCCTATTTCCGCTGTATACCACCCACACCGGTCATTGTTTTAGCCGTGTGTTGCATCGCGAGTCGTCACTCGCAGATTCGTCTGAATGCTGCCTCGCAAAATGGCTGCAGCCACGGCGCATGGCTGCTTGAGAGTATGCCTGCTCCCAGTGGCCGCGTAACGATTGCAATGCTTGTCTGATGTGCATCCGCAGGTCCAGCATGTCGGGTGGATAGCACGTTCACGTGCATTCCTTTGGGTCGTTCTGGACAATGTAGTGGGACATCGACTCCCCAAATTGAACAATTTCGCAAAACCATGGCAACACATATATCACAGACCATCTACTTACCGGCTAGTCTGCAGAAATTATGCCTGCCAGTTGTGTGAAGGAGCTGTGCTCATTGAAAAGCAGTATCGTTGTACTCCTTCCCTACTGGTACTGACGGTTTTGCTACCGTCCATTGAGGGTCCAGGGCTCAGGGTCTTGGCGCCGAGGCCAGCGAGTCCACAGCGCCGCTCCCCTGGGAGTCGGGTGGGTTCAGGCTTTAAGGGGACCTCGAGTTGAGAAGCCCGTAGATTCAGAGCAAGAGTTTAGGAGTTTAGGATGCGTTCTACTTGTGTTCGTAGAGGGTGTGCGCAACGAGATCTCTTCTCACGTCATTTCTGTAGCCGCCCCTGGTCTCAAAGTACGTCACCGCAAAGGTTCCCCTGACACCAACAGGTTTCTTTCGGCCAACCACCCCGACACTGTCAAACTGTGAGTCGCTTAGCACTTTGAAGGAGTGGAGCCTGACATTTGTTCTCTGTATCTCTCTTTGTCCCTCTCTCCCTCCCTCCCTCCCTCCCTCCCTGCCTCCCACTCTGGGTTTGTACGTTAGAAAAGGTTGTGTCTGGGGTGTACAAAGAGATTACGTGGAGCAGGGCATGGGGAGTAGAGGACGGAGATCCAGGGACTGGCAGTGTGTTTGAAGCCCTGCGATTCAAAGAGCGACCGCACCGCTGGGGCTCCCTTTTCCCCAGCATTCCCTCCCCTATCCAAGGGGCCACGCCCAGAAACCGGACCGTGGTCTGCAAACTGCAACATGAGAGGGCGAGTATGAAGCATTGAGGACTCCCAACGAAAAGAACACAGGACCTCAGCAGCAGACATTTTCGGACAGGATCGATTTTCGTTTATTTTGGCAAGGGGGGATCATTCAATGGTAGCTGTAAGGGATTCTACAGAAACAGCCAGTTTGTACATGATCGCCCGAACCCGGACGTATGCAAGTTGTAGGCGTGCGCAGTGGTTTTGCGAAGACTGAGTAAGACCTATAGTTTGTATTGATGGCTGCGCTGCCCGGGGATGAAGAGGTTTTAACAAGGAGAGTTTCCAGCCTCTCGTTGCAGATCGTAGTTCTTGCCCGGGTCAGCATAGCCGAGATGTGGTAGTGTACTTAGGTCACCGACGGCACAAGCCCCGCACTCAGCTGTGGGGTATGGCTCGCATGTATCGCAAATCTTTGGCTTAACGGTTGTACGGCTGTAAGGTGCTGACGTGTACCCAATAGTTGGCTCAAATTATAAAAGAAGTTGAGCGTGCAATTCAAGGCGTTTGGCGTATAGTTATTGACTTAGTGGCTGAGTACAGCCTTTGACATGTTGGGGTTTATGTAATCCCTTCATAATAATTGGAAAGGCTAAACTTTTTGGGCTAGGGTACTCAGCCCCTAAGTTGAAGTAACGGAGTTTAAAGACAGAGGCGCCATAATGGGAGGCTATGGTGACTATATTGCTTCAGTATGCAGACAGTATTTGATTTTTTGAAAAAAATCGAGTTACAACTTTTGGGAGTTAAAGCTTCAAGTGCTGAGCGAGGCAGGGCTTCGTGTCCAGACCTCTCGTCACAAGGCTTTGCCTGTAGAAGCGGACCGCTTTGGTTCGAGGGTTTCGGGTTTAGGGCTGAGTTTAGGGTGCCGGGGTTTCTGCAATCCTGTACAGTCCGTCGCTGTGCCTTTTCGACAGCTTTGCCTCCTTGGCCCTAAACTTGAGCTCGGAAGGTTCTTTAGATCAGATGATTTTTCGGGGATGCCATGCATTGCAATTTAATTTCAATAAATTAGAAACTATAGCGCTTGATCCCATGTCCCCACATCCGCAGTGATCCCACGGGCTCCAAGCAGCCCCAGGCGCTCGCGGAGTGCCGAAGGAAAGACCTCCCCGGGTGCGGATCCCGGCATGGCAAGTCACGTTGTCCTTGTTGTTGGCGTCCTCGAAAGCTGCCGTTTTGCTCTTGTCGGCTTCTGTTGTCTGCTTTGTTGCAGTATCGAGCTCGGGCAGCAGGAGCATGATGTTTCATGGTGTCGAGTCGGTGCTCTCTGTATGTGCCTACCTTCACGGGTACCCCCCCCAATCGAAGAGGAATGACGGGGTTCAAGCCAAGAGACCACATGGTGTGCCCTTGTGACACGTCTTCTCCCTCACATGGGGTTTACAAGGGAATACAAAGGAATCAGAGGGGGCCGAAAAGCAGGGAAGGAGGGCGCCGCGGCTGGCACATCAGGGGTGGCCGCGTCAGGGCTGACACCGGGTAAAGTGACGCTATTGGGGGGAGGGGCGAAGGGCGAAACGTGGACACATATAGACTCCCGATTTGAGTCGGATCGAGTTGCTGTGATGTTTCAGAGAACTTTGTTGGTTCCTGGTTTTGCTAGGCCGCTAGGCTGGCGTGACGTGTTGTCGTGATGAGACGCAGAACCATAAGGTGAGCTTTTCAAGAATGTGAAGTGTTTCTTGGGAGTTTGAGAAAGGGACTCATTAACCTAGATATGATCCTTATTGTGAGGCCCGCACCGCCGAACCCTTAGCCATATCCACTCTTACAGAAACCTCTAAGCCCTCGCAGAAACCTGCATGGCCGTAGTAATAGCCCTATCACGCCCTTATAGAACGCTATATGGTTTATAGGGTTTATAGGGTTACTCTATACAACCTGTAAGACCCAAACTGGATCGAGCCAGGCAGCCCCTGAAACTCAGCGGGCCCGGGTCTTCAGCCGGAGTGCTCTGGTATACTAGGACCCAGAGTAGGCCCTTATTCCCTTTTTAAGGGTTTAGGTTCCCTTATAACCCCCTTTATCCCAAAAAGGGCACCCTTTTTATTCCTAGGTTACTCTTGGGTCTAGTATAGGCCAATGGAGACCTGCGGGGTTTGTTGAGTACGTTCCGAGCACCTTCTTCTACGAGGGTTTGTCGAGTACGGATGTTATATTTCCTGAAACTTCTATGCATGTGCAGATGTGTGTAATTAAGCCTGCCCACGGCTACAGGATATGCTGCGCCGCAGGTGATGGATCTTGCTTGCGTTGTCCTTTCCCTACGAGTATCGGTCCCGCAAGCCCCCCCCCCCCAAAGCCATAGGCCCTGGGCTTCAAAGCCTAAACTCCCCAAGCCCCTAAACTCTAAGCC